TAGCTCTATTAGTTGATAGAATAGGTCTTTAGTTTTAATGTAATAGAGAGATTTTCTCAAAAAATTTATTTGTTGTAAAGTTCTATTCTTTTTTAAAACATGTACTTTACTATGCTCATGAGGAATTTGAGCGCTAGGATCATGAACGAATCACAAAATTGCAAATTTTGAAATTTGAGTGCGTGGCGCAGCAATAGGAGGTCTTTAGACCGAGCCAACCATAGTACATAAAAATTTTTTTTTATTCACATGATATTTTATTTACACGGATCATCCGGATATCCTATAATAATAATAATAATTTCTAAAATTTTAATCCGCAATCCGTTAGCACTTTAAAAAGGCCATCCGTCCATCCGGATTGTTTTGCGGATATCCGGATTGACCATCCACGGATCGCATCTCTATGATTGACATGTTCAACAGGAACAGATGATGATGGTATTTTCTTTTTTGATAAGTTTGAAAATTTTGGAAAGTTGTTTTCGCATTTTCCACCATTCTAGAGAGCTCATTATTTTCTTGTGGAATTTCTAAATATAAACTCAATTTACTATTTGCATCTTGATTATTAAAATTTTCATTTTCACACTCGTCATCATCAAAAAAATGAGGAAACCACTTTTTTGAACTTTTTATGCATAAAGATTTGCTGATATAATAATGATTACTATTACCTTGTGATAACAAACGAAACTCAATGCTATGAAGCAGGAAAAGGCTTTCATTAAATCTATTTTGGAGAATTTATTTTTAAAAAATTAAATGTCCTGCAAAAATATCAACATTTTCTTTTTGAAAACATCTAATCCCCTTCTGGCAAAGTTTTATAGAGAATAAAACTTTTTTTAGGGTTGCTTATCCACTTTGTTTTTTGTTCACCCCGAGTTCACAATAATAACTACATTGAACTCGAGATCTTTTTCATTTTGATTCTGGTGTTGTCAAAACTCAGGAGGTTGCTAATGGATCTTTTGCTGAATTTATTTTATTGAAAATTAGGAAAGCAGATATTTCTCAAGTCATAAAAGAAATTAAAGCTCTATTTATTCTATTCATCCATTTGTAAGGGATGAATTTAAGATATCACTTGTCCAAAACCAACATAAAGTTTTTATGAATGTACTAAAATAATATATTATGGTAATAAAATAATCCAAACACTTGAAAAGAATCAAGAATTAGTAGTACAATTAAAAAAAGAAAGCCAAAGAATTGAAAGGAATATTAGTTAAAAAATTTGACTATATCACTACTAAAGATAAAGTTTTTAACCGTTTTTTGTTTAGCCATTTGAGGAATTGTGTTGAGAGTTAGTTGATTGCTGCTATAGAAAAAGAAGACTTGGCCAAGGAAAAAAGAAAGAGTTGAAGAGAATTGAGAAAATCATTGCTGAAATAAAGCATCACAAGCCAACTGACGAAGAAATAGGAACAGATAAAGATAATTGAAAAGAACCAATTGAGAAATGGGAAAAGTAGTGACACAATAATCAAAATTATTGAAGGCTGAAATCAACAAGCTGGGAATGCCGTGAAATACACTTGAATGCCTTGAAAACAGGTAAAGAATGGAGGAAGAAAGACAATTATCTGAAAAATTAGAGCAATTAGAGATAGCCAAGAATCAAGAAATAAATCAACAAGCCCAAGAAATTCAGCAACTAAAGCAAAAGTAATCATTAACAAGCTACAAAGAATTACAACTAGAAAATCAATCTTTAATTTTTGAGTAGTAAATTATTTTTCTTTAAATTTTCTTTTTCTTTCTAGGTTCTGTGTTAATTTTCTTTTATTGGTTATAATTTTTCTTTCATCCTGATAAATTTCATAGGCAATCCCTTCTTTCCTTGGATAAGCTTCAAAGGAGCAATCTTTTCTTCTTCAAAATACTTGACACTTAAAAAATAAAAAAGTAACAGAATTGTTAAATCATAATCATGAACCTGAAATTTTTTGCAACGCAAAATGTTCATTTGTATGGTTTTGTTGCAGCAGCATGCACAATCTTATTGAGAATTTAATTGATTATTCCAATTATGATCTTCCTGATTATATGTATAACCTTGCCATATCCAAGCTCAAACATTTATCATGCTGAGATAAAACAGGAGTAAATTATTTAAAAAGCCAAGACTTTGAAAGGGCAAGCAACAGAGTTCCATGGTAGATTTTGTGTAAATTAATTTATATTTATATTTTTTGGTATATATATATTCATTTAAGAAAGTTAAGGAAAAGAAAAGAATCCTTATCTTGTGTGTGTGTATGTGTGCGCATATGCATATATATATATATATACACACTCTCAGTTTATTACTAAAATTGTATTAGTGATACAGCTATTGCATATTTAATATTAAAAAACATACCAACAACACTTTATACCCATCCAAGATTATTTTGGGCGTATGTTGTGCATGTATGTGTATGTATTGTATGAACACAATGCATTAAAAAAAAATACTTTAATATTAAAGAAGGAGGGAAGGAATTCAATTCGTCAAAACAGAAGATCCATTAAAAAATAAACAGATGGATAAATAAACAATTGAATTTTTGAATTTTTTTATTTTTCTAAGAAATTTTAATTTTTCTAAAAATAAAATATTACATATTATAATATAATTAAAATTTTTTTTTAAATTAGCATATAAAATTTTTTTTTTTTAACAATATTATAAACTTCTTTGGTATGTACTTATATATATATATAATATAAATATATAAATAAATATATATATATATTTATGTATAATAATAAAAATGAATATGATAATATGCCAAATAAATAATAATTAGAGAAAAAATAAATAAAATCATAAGAAAGAAAAGAAAATATTAAATTTAAAAAAAGATTAATGAATTAATAATAAAATCTATACATCATTGCCATATACAAGATATTATTTATCCAACATATTAAAACCATCCATACCATTTCTAAGCCATCATTAAATAATAATTATCAGGTGGAGGAGTTAATAATGAAGGGGTAAGTATTGGGGTTATATTTACATCACTGTCAACATTAACATTACTGTTGCCATCAGTAGTATTGTCATTGCCATTACCATCAGCGGTGTTGTCCACATTCTTATTATCATTACCACTCTTGTTATTATCGTTATTGCCGTTGTTATTGTTAGTAGCGGCGGTGGAATTGTTGTTGTAGAAATCTTCATCATGCAATGAATAATATAAATAATCGTGACTATTGAAATAACTTGGGATGTAATCGTTGTGTAATAAATTGGCCGGACTAACAGAGTTGATCAGATGATTGATGTTGTTGTATGGGTTTTGATGTTGTTCGTGTTGATGATTATTAAACTGATGATGAGATTGAGGATCATGGGATTGAGATTGGGAATGATATTGGCTTTGTGGAGAATTAGTAGTTATGAGTGGATGATTTGGTGAATGTAAAGGTGTAATCATGTGGTGGTGATTATTGTGAGGATGTTGTTGTTGTTGTTGTTGTTGTTGTTGTTGCTGTTGTTGTTGTTGTTGTTGTTGTTGTTGTTGTTGTTGTTGTTGTTGTTGTTGTTGTTGTTGTTGTTGATGATAAAACGGCGAGGGATTGTAATAAGTAGATGAGGATATTGGTGAAGAAATATTATTATTATTATAATGATTATTATTGTTGTTGTAATGATTATTGTTATTGTTATAAGAGGCAGTTGTGGCAGTTATTGATGATGGTGTTGTTGTAGATGATGATGATTGTGGAAATATTGAATTGATGTAATTGGAATTAACGCTAAAAGTTGTTATTAAATTATTATGATTACCAAAATTATAACCATTATTACCACCACCATTACTATTATTGGCATTCATTGAAACATAATTCTTAAACTTTGATTTCCTCCTACTACTATTATTATTATTATAAGGGGAAGAAGGAGATGTTGGAGATGTTGGAGAGGATGATGATGAGGAATGTTGATCATGTAATTGCTGTTGTTGTGGATGTTGGTAATGATGTTGATGATGATGATGGTGATAATCTTTAAGAGAGTAGATTGGATATAACTCTTGATGTATTATCAGAGCTTTTAAAGCCAAATCATCGTATCTTTCTTTGACTTGTTGAGAACAATTTGACCAAATTTCCTTTGACTGTTTACAAATCGTGGGCATAGTGAACCTATACCCGAGCTTTTTTAATTCTAACATGTAACAATTCTTCATTAAGAAGAATGAGTTTGGCGGTCTCTTTGGATATTTAAGGTTTGGATTCATGAACGCACCAGCGAGATGATTTGAATTACTGAGACGTTGCTTATGTTTAGTGGACATTAATTCGGTGACTGAATAAGGTGGATTGTAAACATGATTCAAATCTACATCTATTGGAATTGTTGAATTCGTGTGACATATCACTGAGCCTGTTGAGGAAGATGATTTTGAATTATTCTTATTGGGAGCAGAGGCAGCAACAGTAGAATTAGTAGAAATGCCAGAGGTGCTAGAATCAGCAGCAGCAGAATCAGCAGCAGTAGAACTATCAGTAGCAGTATTATCAACACTAGTATTATCAGTAGTGGCAGTAGCAGGCGATGTTGGATCCGATGGATTACTTGCAATTATTGTTGTCGATTCAATTTTTCCGTTCTTTAGTGAGATATTCGTATTCGTATTCGTATTCGCATTCGCATTTTTATCATCATTATTCTTGATAATGTCGTCGTTACCACTAACATTATCTATTAATTTATTATTGTCATTCTTATCTTCTAATTTTATTATTATATTCGTCATTTTTTTTTTTCGCTTTTTCAAAAAATAAAAAATAGATATACTTGGGGATTATTAATGATGATTATTTTAAATTAAAAAAAAAATGAATAAATTGGGTAAATTTATAGAAAAAAATTTAATTTGTAAAAAAAAATGTAAAAAAAAAAAGAAAAAAAAAAACACAAAATTCTCAAGGTCTGAATTTATATGATAAACTAAAATAAAATAAATTTTTAAAAATTTAAGGATATATTTATTTTTATAGTAAACATTCTAATTATAAACTGTTTAGGTAGTTAAATTTACGAGTTAGTAAATAACTATTTTTAATTTTATGTATAAATGTATGTTGTTGTTGTATATATAATAATATAAAAATTTTTTAATATTTTCTTCTTTCTTTTTTTTATTCTTTTTTTTTGCATAATCTTACTTAACGAAGAAAAAAAAAAAAAAAAAAGGAATTAAAACGCGCGTTAAGTGGCGGAATCTCAACTCCGAGTTTTTTAAGCAAAGATCAAATTTGAAACACAAATAATTTACAACAACAACACGTTTTATATACAACACACCATCAACAGAAGCCTATTTCTTGACCGACTACTGTTATCAACAACACCTCCTACTATTTATTAACTAGCCTATAAATAATAATAATAATAATAATAATAATAATAATAATAAATAATAGTGACTACAACCATTAACCAAAACAAACAATAAACAAATTAACGAACGAATCAATATAAAAAAACTTTTTTTTACATTATTATTATTTAAATAATAATAATAATAATAATAATAATAATATTGTATATAAATTTTTTTTTTATTTTCACAATCAAATAATTTTTCATGATCAATCAATTACTAAACCTGGAAATCAATATCAGAAAAAATTTAAAAAGACAGACTAATAAATAATTAATAATAGGAGAATGCTAATTTACCACTTGCTGCTTACTTTACGATATGACGATTTACAATGTTGTGATTCTCTGAAATTACTAATTAATTAATTAACTGGTTTTTGTTTATTTTGTAAAACTTAATTTACTGTCAATTTTTACTTTAAACTAATTTCTATTTATTTATTTATTTATTTGTTTTTTTGTACAAGAAATTTATCATTTTTGTTGTTCTTGTACATTTTTTTCTTGGCACGATTTTTAATGTACAAAAGGCGCAGTAGAATTGATTGTTGATTGATGATTATTTTTATTCAATTTTAAAAATTTTTTTTTAATTAATCAATCAATCAACCATATATATAATAAATAATAATATTTAATATTGTTGTTGTTATTTATTGTTTCTATAGCAAGAAGTTTATTGATGGGAAATATAGAATTTGGAAGGATTTGAAACGCGCGTACGTTCCGGTTAGTTATATTTATTTTAATTTACATGTTAGAACAAAAAAAGCCAAGACTGGAAATTTTTTTTCTTAAATTTTGAATTTTAATTATACGAATAAGAAACCAAATCAAACAAACACCCATTATTTTACTCACACGCACACACGTACGTATAGCGTACATTTAATATAATTTGGACTGATTGATTGATTGAAGTGTATTTGTAAAGAATGTTAAGTTACACAACCTGCCGAAATAAAAATTTTCATTATTAAAGCCACGTAAACAAACAAAAAGATTCTAGATCTTCATATTAAATAGTAAATATGTAACTAACGGTTATAATAATGTCTTGGTAAATAATATTAATGCATTTACATGTATATACATACATGCATACATACATGTACATACATGCTTTAAATACATAAACATATATTTGTATATATATATGTAGTAGACAGGGAGAAACAAAAGGAGCGGGGAGGAGACAATTTATCAACAACCCATTCCCCCGATTGGGTATAAAAATACGTTACGTACGTATTACATGAAAAATTAAATTTATTTTTTTCTGCTTGAGAAGTTTTCAGCAAAGAAAAAAAGTAATTGTTTACCGTTTATGGTTAACGAGTTAGTGATGTTTAATAATAACGAAAACGAAAGATAGATAGATAAATATGATTTTTTATTACAAATCATAATAGTTGCCCGTTAAATATTATTACTCATCGATAAATAAATAAAAGAGATTGGCAAGTTTATTTTTTGATCTAACTGTTTCAATAACCAATTTATTTAAATTGATTGAACGAATTTTTATTACCATTTGTTAACACCAATATCACCACTACATATTGTTTGCTAATCAATATATATAATAAAAAATCAGAAATTTAATCTAGAATCTTTTTGCGGCTTTTTTAGTTTAGCTTTATTATTATTTATTTATTTGATGACCGACCAAAATAACCTGTTGGTGGTGTGTGCTACTATTACTTATCTATTTTTACTTTACAATTTTTTCTTTTTTTTACTCCGAATGAAAAAATTCGATTTTTATTAAAAAAAGAAATTACGTGATTTGAATTTACCAGCATAACCAATATATTTCATTCCCTAATTATATGAACATGATAAAGAATGCATAGAGAGACAAGGTTTTAATGTATAAATATATATATATTAAATTTAGAATCCAAACACCCACACACAGACATTCATTTTATTTATCATTGCACATGACTCAAAGGTACACACACACATTAATTAAAAAAAAAAACGGCTGATCGTTACCGTTTTGCAAATTAAAGCCTGTTATTAGAATGGTTTCATAGTATAAATAATAAATATCAATCTTGTTTGTTTTCCAATTTATTGGTATGAAATCACAAAAGTATATTTATGTTGTGTGACAATCGGCTGATGGGAATTTAAATTTTTGTCCATACAATCAGAAAAAATCACAGTTTGATATATAGCACTGTAATTGGCTGATTAGATACAATATTTCCAAATTTGTCAATTTTTCGCAAAAATATTGCTATAGGATTTAACCCAGCAGTTGGTAATTTCGCCCAATACTCCACCCTATTTTTTTTTCACACCCGTTAAGCTTAAAATTTAGAACTTTTGTAAAATAACTACTAACTAAAATATTTGAATTTATAAATGTTGTACATGTGTATCCTATTTTGATCTGTACTTCTTCGGTATAATTGAAAGTAAAAAGAGCTAGGAAACAAGATGAAGGATTTAATAATGAATTAATTGAATGTTTTTTTTTAATCATTATACACTGATAGATATTGTTTTGTATATATATAATATTAATATTAACCATAATAATAATAATAATGATAAGGTTAATCACATAGATGTACTATGTGAAACGTATCCTTATTCCAACAATCCTACATCTTCACAAGAGGTTTAATTTCAACAAAGTTTTACATGCATCAAATGTTAAAGGAACTTTTCTTTTGAAGCCCAGTTGTGAGGAAATCATTGAATGTGAACATTCAATTGTGACAAAAAAAAAATAATTATATCAGAATGCTATCTATCTATATACATTTTGACAAATGGGAAGAGTGGTGGTGTCAGAATTCCATAGTTTTTGATGTCAAATGGCTATCTTTTGTATAATTATTTATTTAAATATGTCTATTTGATTAATTAAAGGTGGCAAACTAGCTTTATAGGTTAATTGGGGATCACGCATAAATATTTAATAATAATAATGCATTAAAGTTTAAATAAATAAATGTGGTCACAAGGTCTCCTCATTTTACACTTTTAAAAGAACCATTAATATTAATTAAAAAGGTCATGTTAATTAAGTATGAAAAGAGCAATTTATTGACAGATAAGGAAGGAAGAGTGAAAATTTAAAAAAAATGCGACATTGCATATTTTCAATATATCAAGTAATATATATATATATATATAGGAACATTTTAAATTGCACCCTTTAATTATTTGAAAAATGTGTAATTTACATCTCAAAATTCTATTATGACAAGGTTTATACGGATTAAACTAAATAAAGAACCACCAGTAAAGGCAATTAAAATGCTATATTTTTTTTTTTTAGAAATGTAAAAGGTTTTTTATTTTTTGTTACACCATCTACACTATGCTGTGACATGTCAATTTTCTTTTTGTAGAATCTTTTCCATCATATCATTTTTTTCATTATGTTGATGGTTAATATAAGGTACTGGCCAACCTTTTTTAATTTGATCATCAAAAACCCTTTAAAGTTCTATATATAAAATAATCAATCAATTTCTCCGAAATAACAATAGATCATTCCTGCGCCTCACTGTCCAAAAAAGGTTTTCATATATATATTAAAAGGAAACATAGTATAGAACTCCTTTTTTATTTATTTATTTATTTTTTGAAACAATGTTAATTAACGATCTGCGTGATGCATTTCTATACAGAATTCACACACAAACATTAATATTGACAAATAGACCCGTTCTAAACTCTTTTTCTTAAAACTGTCAAAGCTTCTTTTAACTCTTTTACTTTACACATTATTTTAGAATTGAGTGTGTTGTTGGTGTGTAACACTTCTCCTTATATTAAAGAATTTTTATAATTAACTATGGTCTTCCTAATTTGAACATGGCTGACCAACCAAAACTATAACAATAATTTAAATAAATAATCTCCATATTTTTTTTAATTCTTCTTCTTCTTCTTATAAAAGAAACAGAACTCGACAACCAATCATTATTCTCTCTGTTTGAGACTCAAAACTTTAGTTATTTTTATAAGGGGATCTACATGTTATTGTTTATAAAAATAATGTGGTTATGGACTTCGTGGCACCATATTTAATTCAAGTACCTCTTTCTCCCTTTAATCAAAGTAGAAAAAGTTGTATCTGTCATATGGGCGTTTTTATAGAAAGGGATCAAATGCAATTTCCCGTGCAGAACATTTTCATTGTTTTATTTATTTGTTCTTGTCATTATCATTATCATTATCATTATCATTATTATTATTATTGTTATTATTATTATTATTATTATATATAACTAGAGTGTCCAAAGTTTTGCTGCGCAAAATGCGATTTGACAAAAAGACCAAATTCATCATTGGGCATGAATATCTTACCAATAAAGGTGATTTTGATGCCTTTATTAGCTAGATCGCTAAACTGGCTATTTTCCGCAACAAAAATAAACCCGTTTATTTATTAATATTTGAAACAAAATAATTACAGTTTGAGGGGTTTATAATCCTTCTTTATTATTCACCATTGACTGAATGGTGGTGGTGGTGGACAATCTCCGTTTCATTTCCTTCTTCCATTTTAGGAAAGGATCTATAGAATGTAGAAATCACGTGAAAATGGTAATTAAAATATATTATTATACATACCTTTTCTCCCTGTCCACTTGTTAAATTTTCAGATGACTCTAATGTTTTAAATCTATCCGTATCTATACTAAATCATTTATATTTAGAATATGATACTTCTTGGCAAACAGAACAAACGTTAAAAAAAATTTACCCAATCCTAAAGTTAAGTTTGAAGGACTCTGGCTGGATCTTTTAACATCGAAAAGCATATTGTTGCCATCTTTAGAATGGGTTGAATGAATATACAAGAATAAGAGTTGCCAAGGATTGAACTATGTTTCAATACATTTACCACACTTGCGACAGATAATAATGATAATAATTAGTTTTTGTCTCATTTATCTTCCTTCATAATAAAATAAATCATAAAAACTATTAATATAATAATAACAGTCTCCTCGTTTATATGTATCCTCTTCCATATGGCTATATATAATTGTTAATATTAAATAAATTAGTCCCCTTATACTAAATTATATATATAGAAAGAATCACAAATAGAATTATTGTATGTAATTAATTAATTAACAACATCCAAGATATAATTCGTGGACAATAACGATAAAGAGAAGTTATTGGTGAATCTCTAGGTCGTGTTTTAGCATGGATGGGCCCCGGGTTCGCGTCTACACAAATCTTCATTGTGTTTAGAAAATGTTTATTTATCATTATCAAAAAATTACATGAAGAAAAAAAAATGCGAAAAATTTACTTTTGATGATCTAAAAATTAAACACAAAATAAAAAAGAATTAATAAGGGGTTGTTTAAATAAAAAGATTGAATAAAAGTCGGTGAATGTGAATGAATGAGTGTGGTGAATTTTAATGAATGAATGAGTGTGGTGAATTTTAATAAATGAATTTCTAAGATAATTAAATTATTTGATTGTCTTGTAAAAAAAAAAATTAGATTAACATTGCAAAAATCATCAAAAATTACGACCCACCATTTCATATGGCTCAACAGAACTAGAAAAATTATGAAACAGAGTCATATAATATATTGATGATTTTTTCAAAAAAATTAACGTTCAACAATAATTAAAAAACTAATTACTTTTACTATATTATATGTACAAATGTAAAAAAAAAAACATCACTATTTTACCATTATAGAAAAATAACTTTGGTCACGTATTAACAATGATTCTAAATCTATCGTTTTTGGTTGTTGATGATTTTCTTCTCCTCCTGTTGCAGCATTCGAATGACCTGGTAACGATTTGTGCAAGATTGGAAATTTTAATTTTCTGCTAGCATAAATTGCTTGTGGATGTACTTTTGTTGGTTCAACCAATTTGTCTGGAGTTGTATCGTACCCTTTATGTTTCAATATTTTTATTCTTATTTTTTCCGACTTCTCAAATGCTTCCGAATCTTTTTTATATAAATGCCAGTTTTCAAGAACGCTTACCAATTCACGAACTGTTGGACGTAACTTTGGATCTGATGACCAACACTTCTTCATCAAGTCAATGTAACATTCAGGCATCATGTAACTGTTGTTTTCACTAATTGTAGGTCTCAAGTTTGAATGGATTATCGATTTCAACAATGATTTTGAATTGGTCTTGTTATGATTATGATGATGGCGATGTGATTGTGATGAACTATCGTAATATGGTTGTTTGTTAATAGCCAATTCCCACATCAGAATTCCAAAGCTATATATGGTTGATTTTTCTTCACTATACAATTGACCTGATAAAACTTCTGGTGCAACGTAAGATAAAATATTATTCTTATAATACCCGATCACAGGAATTGGTTCCTTGGAAGTTCCTAGACCCAATTCGTTGGTGGGTATTTCAATATGTGATTTATAGATTTGTCCATTACCGTAAGTGCCTTTACACACCATCATCTGGTCATCATTTTGAAATGATTCGATGGTTGATGCTATCGAGTATAAGATTCCCAATTTTCTTGACCAAGTAAGATGTGAAAAATGATGTGAAGTATAATGTCTTACATCCCATTCTACTGTTTCGGCTACCATCATATAATTCCCTGTTATCGACTCTCGTGTAGCTCCAAATATTCTTATCATAAGTCCATTATGTTTTCTTGCATTATAATGTGTTTTTAACTATTATTATTATAATCATTATAATCATGTTAATATTAATATAATTGTAAAGAACAGTTCGTAAATAGTTCACAAAATTAATGTCTCTCTTACCTCTTTAAGGAAAGCATATGCATTGTTTCCGTAGGATATTAATGCAACTTTGGCTAAGTCACGTTTTCGAATGAACTTCCTTTCAATTTCATCCCAGGAATCTTTAGGTCCTTTTTTCCAATTTGCAGCATAAACAATACCCGTTTCTGCCTCGTCATATTTATCAATCCCGATAAAAGATTCAAATGGTATCCATTCTAAATAATCGGTACAATTTTTTGCACTCAATTGAGTTCCTTGTATAAATCTATCAATTTCCGTATCCTCGCTAGTCCAATTATCAAAATTTTCTTTGAACTGTATCGGTTCACAATATTCACACCAGTTGCTATTTATTCGTTGGCTACACTCTGGACAAAGCTGTATTTTTGTGAGTTCCAAGTTCATATTATATTTATAAAGTTTTGTATATGAAAAAAAATTTGTATAGGTGTTTATATTATTATTTAATTTTAATAATATTTCTAAAGATTCTATCTGGTGTGAAATATTGTGGGGATAAGGGTTATTTATTGAAAAAAAAAAAAAAAATTTTTTTTTTTATTTATTATTTTATTAGGAAAAAAAAATTAAAAATTTTTTGTAAGATAACTATATTTAAATTGTATTTATACGAAAAATAAACTAATTGGGTCCTAACCATATATAAATATAAAAAAAAAGCCTTATAATTCAAAAAAAACAATTCCCATTAAATGAATGAATAAATACAAATTAGGAAATTGTAATTTTCTAAACAGAAAAATCAACAATTCTTCAGGAAAAAGAAATCCAGAATGCAGATTGTTCTTTGGACTTTCCATTTATATAAAACCACGCCATTAATTTCTGCATTAGTAAAGATCGTTTGTTTTTATTATTTAAAGAATAGTGCAAAATCACAACACTTGATATTATTGTAGATATTGTGTTTGCTATTGTAAATAAATAACAATCGTAAAACAGTAAATTGCGGGAATGAGAGTTTGTTTTATTTACCAAAATCGAAATAAAGAAATCTTTACCAAACTCCGAATAAAGAATAAAAATTAAGACGCAGCATTATGTTTGTATGGTTTATTTTTTTCGCACAAGTCCACAAGTGTCGCCGTTTTTACCCCAACTAAAAACACCACTCTTGTCACTCTTTCGCATATCCGCGCATATATATATATATATATTAATATATATATATATACATACCTTCAATGGTTCCATTAATTAAAAAAAAATAACGGACTATCACTTTATCTTCTTTAAGTGAATTCCAACAAGTAAATCCTTTCTTTGTTTTTACAAATAAAAAATTTACATAATGAGTAAATAAAAATGTCACATTTTCAAAATTTATTTTCTCTAAATTTAGAGAATTAAAATACTCGGGTTTGAAACTTGCTGGCAAATAAATGATTTTGTATTATAGAAAAAAGTAGTTGGTGCAACTTCAAATTGTAAAAACGAGCTTTTTATAATAAATATTTACTCAAAACATAAAATAATGACACTGTGATACATTCCAAATACGAATAATTTTGTTGTTATTATTATATCATGTAAAGAGATTTTAGACAAATTTATCACCATGCAAATGCATTTTTTTGACGCGTGACGAAGACTTATCGAATGAGTATAATTCATTGAAGGACTCAACGGCAGTAATTTGCGGTGGCATTTTATGTCGAGACACTTGGACAATCCAATCATAATGAAACTATTTATTCGCAATAATATTCGGTTTAACAGTTTATTTTTACTAACACCGATGAAGACAATTTTTGCTTAGAAGCTGTACCACTGTTAGGGATGGTATATAACATGATTTGAGGGGTATATACCCTACTAAAAAATTACACAAGAAACCGATTGTGGTATATACCATTAATACGTAATAAGATAACAATAATTGTATCTTCATAGAATTCTTGATTGTTACTACCATCTTCTAAATTAATAAATTCATCAAAATCATTATCATCATCATAATTTCAACCATTATAATTATAGTCATTATAATTGAAATTCAAGTCATTGTCAATTTCTTCATCTTCAAATGTTTTCCAAAATAGTGGTTTTGGTAAAGTAATCATGAAATCAACAATTGATTCATTATGGTTGTTTATCCAACCATCACTTGTTATACAGACATATTTTGATTTTTCAATTTGATTAGGTATATATAACAGGGTGTAAACTAGGTTGTTATAAACCCGCCCATCACTAGTACCACCCCCACTTTACATAATGAAATTTTTGAAATGCAGATCTCTTGGTTTCTACCGAAAAGGCCCATATATATTAATATGTTACATATATTACATTTGTGATCAATCATCATTTGCCAAATTTGTTTTTTCTCTTGAAATTTTGAACAAAATAAAAAATAAAAAAAATCATGGATCCTTACGATGGTTTGTTATTAGTTGCTTGCTACTTCATGTGATAAATAAATTACACAATGTATTTATCAATTGAATACTTTTTTCATTTTCGAACTATAGTAAATTTGGATCCTGAGTATCGTGATACACCAATAGTATCACCAATACCTAAACCTTCGCTAGAAACATGTCCATGTCCACCAAAATTTACAAATAAATCGAGATATAATAATAATCAACAACAACAGCCACAACAACAACATTATAATCGATATAATTATCAACAACAACAACAACAACAACAATATCAACCTCATCACAACAGTCCTTTACAAAACAATAATTATTATAATCCAAAACCATCAACATCATCGTCATCATCGTCATCATCGTCATCAACAACGGCAACGGCAAACAATTTTAGAAATTCATCATCGAATTATCAACAAAATTCTCAACAAGTATCTTCCTCTTCTTCCTCCTCCTCCTCGTCACAACAACCACCTTCTCATAATCAATCATACAATGATTATAAAAATCAACAACATAAAATCGATAATAGACAACAAGAACAACCAAAACTTCCTCCTCCTTCTTCACAACCAAAAACAACAAAAACAACATCAAAAACAACATCAACATCAACGTCAACATTATCTCACATATTAAATTCCAATTCAAGCCAGAATCAATCAAACAACGCCATCACTTTGCCAACAGAGATTCAAATACCCAAACCAAAAATTGATTCTATTTCTTGTAAAATTGAATTTTCAGAATCTAAAAATATCGATGGATTAAATATGATTGTTGGATCTGTAATTATTCTTTATTTTATTATCAAACTTGTTATTGTTACTGTTATTGCTATTGCTATTGCTATTGCTATTGCTATTGCTATTGCTATTGTTACTACTATTATTATTGCTTTAATTTTTACTAACTTATTCATATCTACGTAGTACTCTGAACCTGATTATGATCTATTTTGTAATAATGATATTGTTGAGAATCTTAATAGCAAAAAGGTTGAAAATGCTTTTAATTTAATTGGTTGATTGATTGATTGATTGATTGATTGATTGATTGATTGATTGATTGATTGATTGATTGATTGATTGATTGATTGAT